AGACTCTGTATGCTGCGGATCGTAACATGGAATGCAGCTCATCATAAAGTCTTTGCAATAGCCGCGTCTCTACACCCAGAAGACCGTCGAAAACATATATATACCTGCACAATAAGTGCAGCAAGTGTAGCATGAGTACGTAAATCAATGCGTACCCAGTAAGTATCTAGCCTAACCCCAGAGAAGTGGTGATGAGAGGTCGACATCAACACTTACTAGTGGTCCAATAAATCAAATACAATAGGAAGTAAACAAACGTGAGGCAGAGTAAATAAACAAAATAAACAAGTACAAATGCGTGGTACAATCCTGCTCTCAATAATAAACTCAAGCTCTCAATTAGCAATTACCTCCTCAACCGGAGTATATATATAATGGACCTTACCAGATAGGTCGTCACAATTCAAATCAGGAAAACTCACAGATACACTAGCTTCTTGTTAAATATTACGCACGATTCCGTAATAGTATTTTATAGAAATGTCAAGGCGTACTGCCCGATCCCATCATACTGTGTGCACTGGTGAGAGTTGAATGACACGAACCATAGATGAATCTAAACGACCCGCTCCCATTAAAGTGTGGTACATAATCCTGCCCAGCAGAATGACTTGATCCCAGTAGAATAAGAAGTTTTAACGGGTCCTTGACCCCACTCACAAATAAACATGTGAGTTATAATTTTAAGGAAAATGTTCCGATCAAAACGCATAGCGCGGGAGAAATTCGTAAGAGTACAATTAATCTGCGGCTAATTATGAAGCCCCTCAAATCTCTACAATAACAAGTCTATTACTCTGTAAGCACGTGATTTTTTCCCTATAAAAGCATTACTCCCAAAAAAAATTCAAAATAAAACGATTTTCCTTGGTGTGCAATTTTGAGAATTTTTGTGACATTTTGGATAATTATTTGTATTTGTCTGTGCATGTTTATTTGTTAAATTAATAAAAAATACAAAAATATGTCGCATTTGCATTTAGGATTTAATTCTATAATTAGGAATAATTAAGCTTGTTTTACAATAATGAAAATTACAAAAATATGCATCGTTTGCATTTTTAGCATTCAATGTCAGATTGTGCAATTTTGTTTTAATAGGTGTTTAGTTATGTATGATATTTGTCGCTAGGAATTAATTAGTATTTTTTATAAGTTAATGTAGCTTATAATTTACTTTAGAATTTTAGTTTTATTAATTAGAAAGTAAAAGAAAATAGAGCAAAAAATATAAAGAAAATCGGAATTGGGCCTCTTCTTCAAATTCAAACCACAGGCCCAAAAAATACCCAACCTTCCCCATGACCCGGTCCATTTCAACCCGGGTCGACCCGGTCCGCCCCATTAACCCCAAATGACCTAACCCTTCCTAATCGTCATTTTCATTATTTCCAAAACCCTAACATTAAACCATCCGCCCCTCTCTTTCTCTCTTCTCCTTCACCATATCCAAAACTCCAAGCCCATCCATGGCTGCCTCCCAAGCTCACTCCAAACAGCCCCTCCCTCGTCCGCCATTAAAGAGCAAACGACCCCCATTACTGTGCATCTTCTTCTTCGACCAGCTGCTGCCCCAAGCTTCGTCTTCATCGACGAACAAACATCCGCCATTGACGAGCTCGTCAAGCTCCCATGGCTGCTGCGTTGCTGCGTCTTCTGCTACGTCCAAACAGAACCCGTTGCTTCTACCTTCATCTTCTTCGTCAAGCTCGAGCTTGAGCTCGACACCCATGGCTGCCACTGCGTCTTCGTCGTCAACCCGTCGCCATGGCTAGCTCCCTGCTGCTTCAAGACTGCTGCTTCGTCGTCGACCACTCGCTTCCAGCATCTTCTTCCTGCTGCTTCTGCTACGTCCAAACAGACCACGCTTCTGCTTTTGCTTCATCTTCTTCGTCTCCGTCGGACTCGAGCCCGAGCTCCCATGGCTGCCCTTTGCTGCTTTGTCTTCTCCATGGCGAGCTCAAGCTCGTCCATGGACTGCTCTCATCACCATAACTTACCAGAAAAACACACACAAACACACACGCTGAAGCCCAGCTGAAAACATTCAAAATCGCCCAGAAGTTCTGTCCGGGGTTGAGGTCCGTTCGAGTTCGTCGTTGATCAGTCGTTGTTCGTAGTTCCGATCCGGTTAGTTGTTTTAACCAATTTGTGTTTATCGTTTTTCTTATTTTTCTTCAGTTTGTTTCATTTTTGTTTCATTGCTCTTGTTTATTTTTAGGTAGAAATTGTTAGTAATTATAATGTTTTTAGATTTAAATTAAAGTTCAACTAATTATGTCTTTAGTTTGTTCTGTTGATTTTAAAAGGATTTAGTATAGAAGAGTGTTAGTTTAAATTATTTGAATCCGTCATGTTTGTTGTTTAAAATAGATTTAATTCATGTTCATTTTTGTTTGAAGTTCGTTTTTAATCCAGTGATTTAATGTGAGTTTATGTTTTGGTTTTTAATTTTTTGATTTAGTTTGAATCATGTATCTTTGTTGTTAATATTGTTGTCTCCTTGCTCATTCATTTGTGTCTAAGTTAACCAGGATTGGTTCCCAATATGGTTAACTTATTCCCATTAATTTGATGTGGTTCAATCTGTGTTCATGTGATTTGTTGTTAAATTTGTTTAGAAATTGGTCATATTTGCTGTATTTTGGTTGAGATTGATTAGGCGAATTGGTTATAGCTGATGGGGGTAGTTTGGTAAATTGCAGTACGTTCAGGGGTAAAATAGTAATTTCAATAAGGTCGGAGGGGTATTCTTGGAATTGAACATTTAAACAATTATTTAATCCGAATGCTTTGTCCATTAGGCATTAACAATATTAAAATAATATATTGTGGGGGACAAGACATAAATTAGTGGGGGTTGATATAATTGTTTAATATAGTGGGGGACAAGACATAATGTAGTGGGGTGGGAATAATGTAATTATTTATGTTAGGCATGGGGGACAAGATATAATGGGGTGGGGTTGATATATTTATTTAATATAGTGGGGAACAAAACATGTGGGCATGGGGGACAAGGGTTTAAAATAAAGAAAACATTAAGTAGTGGGGACAAAGCATGCAATTGGGGGAATATTTCGGGTTGGGGATTCAAGACAAGAGTCTTGTTATAAATAGAGTCATTTGACACATTTTAAGAGGACTAGGACTTGAACTTGAAAGACTTACTTAGAGAGAGATTTTAGGAAGACATTCTGAAAATCTCAAGAGTGTTAGAGAGTTTAAAAAGAGAAAACAAAAACAAAGTGAGAAACGAGTTTAGTTTCGGGTTTAATACACGCGGGTTTGAGTATGTTTGTGGTGATGTGGTTTGTTGCTGTTTAGGTCTTTTACCAACTTTTGGGTTTGTTCTATCGAGCTTGCTTGATTTTCTTCAAATTTTCCTGGGTTTTGATTCTGGTTCGAATTGCTGCTGTGGGGTTGCTGTTGCTGTTGCTGTGTTATTACTGCTGTTGACTCCTCCTTCTTTTCTTCTTGTACTGCCATTTCCAGGTACACATTTGTACACTCTCGGCTTGAAGTGAAATGAAATATTAATCAGGCTTTGTTCCTGTTGAATTCCTNGGGTGCACATTTATGTGACCCAAATCCAAATCTCAACGGAATCGAAATGTGTCTCTAATCACGGGTACATTGATTGTGACATGGTCCGAGATGCATGTCCACGACGTCACGAATTACTTTAAAAAATAAGAATGAGATGAGCCTCGCCGAATAAAAATACAAAATTGCGGGGCCCTCAGTAAATATTTGCTTTAAAATTGCTTAGATTTCGGGATGGACCGTTTAGCAAAATTTCACGGCCCTACCCAAAGTAAATGATACGCTAGTCGCTTTAGGCGCGCCTTTAATAATTTAATCTTCTTAAACTCGGGTGCACATTTATGTGACCCAAATCCAAATCTCAACGGAGTGAAAATGTGCCAACAACTACGGGTGCATTGATGTGACGTGGTTCGAGATGTATTTCCATGACGTTGCAATTCCCTGTAAAATGATAATAATAATAATGAAAGTGGTAAAGAGTTAAAATCTGCACATAAGTTCATATTTGTATAAAATCAAATAATCAAGCCGAATATGACAGTTGAG